AGGCTCCATCCCTCATTACTGAAGCATGTCACACTCAGGCCGCTGCAGGACTTCACCCATAATCCCCTGCTCTCCAACGTCTTCATCTAATAACAGCTGACCTGAGGTGGGCCCTGCCCCACGACCTGATCCACACACACACACACACACACACAGCTCAGCAGCAGCATTAGTGCTGCCTCATTAAACTGCACAAACCTCCTCCAGAGGGAGGACAACTTCATTCAGGGGGGGGGGTGATGTGGGGGGGTGTTCAGGTGGAGAGGAGCTCTGGGGTGAATACAACCAGACACAGTCGTCATTTCTCCAACGACAACAACTGCTCACATGACCACTGTCGTCGTCTGGGGAGTTTTTGTGGGGGGGGGGGGACCCCGGGGCCCCCCCCCCCCACACAATAAAGTTATACCACTGACATAGAATAATGTGACACTGACGGTCAGAAACACATCATCAAAGTTGACCTCTGACACCGGAGGAACTCACCTGGGAAACTGTGGCTGGTGGAAGGAGGGTGGCGCCCCCAACAGGCTGCTCTGCCTGGAATCTGTGGAGAACCAGAACCAGAACATTTTTACTCTGTGCACAATTAAATCTATGACATTTTCTGTTTTCCAAGAAGGAAACGTTCATCGGTCGATTTCATTTTTTTTGTTCTGTTTTCTTGAAGCTGCAGATTTATTTGATGGTGGTTGAAAGTCAAATTTGAGGAATTTAAAAATGTCCAACAGAATCGTTCGTGTCACAGACGATGAAATGAACTTCTCCTGGAAAGGGAACGGCAGCCAGACTGAAGGGGAGGAGGTGGGGGGGGGGCATGTCCACATTTGCATTCTGGGTTCTGGGGGAGATGAAATAAGCATTCAGACGGCAGCAGTGTGGGCTCCTCAAGTACCGCGCCTCCTCCGCTCTGAGCTCCTCACAAAGACACACTTTAACAAAAAAAGCCTTCCTCCAGGTTGGCTGTTGCCAAGGCGATGACCAGCTGCGAGTTAGCCGTGGATTTGTTTGTTTACGGGGGCAGGAGCGCCGAGTGGAGGGGTGAAGGAGCCACAGGTTTAGGGTTAAAAAAAAACAAAAAAAAAAAACACAAAGTGTGAAGAAAAGACATGATTTGATGAAGATAATTCACCAGACTGAGGTCAGCCCAACACCAGGGGGCAGAAGTCCTCACAGACGTGGTCATAAAACAGAGTTAAGGAGTTGAACTCCTGAGGATCTTCTAACCTCCGACTCTCAGCTTCTCTGTACTTTTATCTTGTCCAGAGTGAAAAGTTTCTTCCTCTCAGTAACGTTGATATTTATTTAGAAGTACCCACACACACACACACACACACACACACACACACACACACCCTGCGGTTCCTTCACACTGACAGCAGCATCAGTCCCCAGTTCCAGAGCTAACTTTTATTGTTCACGCCACGTTAGCCTCCGAGCGTGTGTGTGTGTGTGTGTGTGTGTGTCCCTCCCCAGGTCTGGTCGTCTCCTCTGACAACACACTTCAAGTGGACCACCCAGTGGGACTCCAATTATCAAGTCCAGCGGCTCTGCTCGTCTTTCTAAAGACACAATGACAAGTGGACACCTGTCAATCACCTCCTTCATCAACTCTGATCTGAACAGGCTGCACCGTCACAAAGAGCACAAAGACTGAGCCTTTAAATCCTCACAGGACGCAGTGGCCACTGTATCAAAGCAGGATTACAACCACACTGAACAACTGAACGACTGAACAACTGAACAACTGAACGACTCCGGTGTGCTCCTCTCAATTAGACCAGACACTGGTGGACCTGGTCCTGGTCCTGGTCCTGGTCCAGTTGGCTCAGGACTCTGTGTTGAGTCTTACTTTTTTTTTAACCATTTTCAAATTTTGACTCAACTTTTTGAAAACATTAGTCAAAATCAAAACTCCGGGGCGGGGACCACGCAGCGCCCTCTGCTCTCAACTTTTCAATTCATGCCGGCTTATTGTAGCCACTGTTTTTTGGTTTTACCGTCCTGCTGGCCCAGTCTGGTATTGCACCCAAATCAAATATAGTTTGAACAACAGCGCCAGCTTCAGGTCAGACTGAGGTCAACATCCTTTGGTTCTAGTTTGTCTGAGGTGTCACTGTGTCTCTGTTAACCCCCCCCCCTCCAGCTCAGTAGTAAACAGCAGCTGCTGTAGCAGCCTTGTTGACACCTCACCACAGGAGGGCGCTGCTCCATCAAACAACAAGTTAACTTTAGTTTCCAGCCTCTTCATGTCCAATCAAAGGGGCTCCTGCAGGAGGGGCAACAGCGCCCCCTCCTCACAGGCTCCTCCAGCTAACATGATGCTAACCAGCAGCTAACACGGTCAGGAGGTGCAGGCAGATGATTGGTCCAGAGCAGGTCTGTGATTGGACTAAAGACTGACTGTTGGTTTGGACTCACGTTGGTAGGGCTGGTGGCCGCCGCTGTGTGGAGGACAGTAGCGCCCCTGCTGGTAGCTGTTTGGTGGTGCTGCGTTGCTGTACTGGCCTCCTCCAGCGTGTTGGTTTCTGTCCATGTTGTGACTGAAAAAAAACAAAAAACCAACATTAAAATATGTTTAATGTTGTTAACTCTTAATTAATGATTCAAAATGAAAAACAACAAAAAAAAAGGACTGAAAAAAAAAAACAAGGATAAAAATGAGTGACAGTCAAAGGTCGTCGTCACCATCACCCCCATCATCACCACCATCACCATCATCATCATCATCACCACCACCACCATCATCACCACCATCACCATCATCATCACCACCATCATCATCATCATCATCACCATCATCATCACCATCATCATCATTATCATCATCATCACCACCATCATCATCATCATCACCACCACCATCATCGTCATCTTCATCATCATCATCACCATCATCACCATCATCATCACCATCATCATCAGCTCTAACTTCCTGTAAACATGTCCTAATTCACTTCCTCCTCCTCTTCCTTGGAGCAGCTGCCTCCCCCCCCCCCCCCCCCGCCCCGCCCCCCCCGCCCCACA